CTTGTCGTAGAATGTTGCTGTTGTTTTGGTGCACTGTACACGAGCGTAGCTGTTGTTACTGTTTTCGTCTCTCGCATACCATGTTGCATCTGGCGGTTGATAGCTGTTGCTGCATGTTGCCGGTGAGGTTGTTGTCCAGTCAATCGATGACGCACGTTGCCGGTGTCGTTGTTGTCCAGTCCACCCATGATATGGTGGTGATAGGTGTGGTTGTGCGGACAGGTTTGGTCGTTCTCGTTGACACCTTGGCCTGCCCCGTAAGTGTCTCGCGCCGCGTTTTCGTCTCTTGGTTGCTGTTTCCTTTTTTTCCTAGTTTGAAGACTTCCGCACGGAGTATGCCAGCAAGCTCCTCGAGCGCTACCGCTACAAGCACCTCTGCTTCAACGACGACATACAGGTTCGGTTCTGTTCCCGTTCTTGCTGTTGGTGTGGTGGTCTGCAGTTGCGAGCATGCGACGGTGCTACACGGTACGATGGAAAAACGCGCGGGCGAGAAGAGGTGTAGTGTAGGAGTTTGAGAATAGCGACGAGAAAGAGGTAGGTAGCGCTACACCCGTACCTCCGACAGGACGCCGACAGCACACAGCCCACAGCCCACCCCAACCAAGACCACACTGCTGCAGACCCCTCCTGGGCGAGACGCTGCGAACATACTACGCAGAAGAGCTCGAGCAGTCCGAAACCATGTCTTCTCCACATCGAGAGACCGTCTCCCACGGGACACCCCGTTCCCCGCCTTTGTATTTTTCGGGGACCCTCCTTGTCGTTTGGCGGGTCCCCCTCCTGGTGATTTTACGGGATTCCTCTTGGTGATTTTGCGGGACCCCTCTCGGTGATTTTGCGGAGGCCCTCCTAGTGAGATTGGTTGATTAACCCGTGCTTTGCTGCTTTTGGTGAGTTGGTTGGTTGTTGCCGTCGTCGGCTCGCGGGTGATTGATCAGGGAAGTGCGATTCTGCGGGCCCCCTCCTGTTGTGTTATTGTTTATATTGATTCACTTGATTGCTTGGCCGGCGGATCGGTTGTCGTCGTCCTCAGCGTCTCTCCCCGTGATTTGATTTGATCAGGGAACTGCTGCCACCGCCCTCGCCGGAATCTACGCGGGACTGGCGGCCACCGGTCGGCCTTACAGCGATATCCGCCGACTCAGGTCGAAAACCCGTTTCAAGACTTCGGTTGACCATTTACCGTTGATAATTGGTTACGGTCACCTTGCCCATGCTGCCGCCCGCCCTGCTCCGTCCTCTCGAGGGCGCGTGGGCAATGGTCTAACCGCTAAGGCATGCAAAACATGAGAGTACGCCCCCCCTCTTCAAGTTCCGTCGTGAAAAGTTTCCTCGACCAAGCGTATTGGTCGAAACTCGGGATTTGCTGATGGGGCCACTCGGGGAGTAGCGTGGACCTTCGGTCAAACCCCATGTCGATTTGTCGTGTCGGAATTTGCGCACCGGCGATAGAGGGGAGAATCTGCCGGCTTAAAATCGCGCAACGCACCCCAGGCGTTGTTGCGACACACACTTCTAGCAGCTGAAAAGGTGGCGTTCCATGGAGTGACACTCAGGCCTCCGACGGTCGTTCGTTGGGAGACTTTTTTCACCCTCCAAGTCTGGGCATGCTTCATCGTTGCCGATTTATCTTTATTTTTTTTATTTTTTTGCTTGTTTTTTGGAGTGTTGTTCGGGTTTTCTTTTCTTTTGTGGAATATGTTTCGACTTTGTGGTGTTTTTTTTTTGTTTTCTGTCTCCTGGTTGGTGTTGCTCCGTCCATGTGGTCGGACAAGAAGCGGGACAGAACGCAGGTGTTTTGTTCCTCGTTATTTTGTGTCATGTTTGTGGCATGTTTTTCACTCTTGAGGTGTTGTCTTTTGCTTTCATTCTTGTGTGGTTTTGGGATTTTGTACAGGTTCGTGGTGTGCGGGGCCGGCAGCGCCGGGATGGGCGTGGTGCAGTGGCTGTGCAAGGCGATGGAGAAGCACGGGGCCCCTCCTGACGAGGCTGCAGGTGGGTGCCTCGTGGATGATTGCTGAGATAACTCCCTCACCTACCAAATCGTGAAACTGAGATCTACATGACGACAATCGATAATCAAAGTGTACCAGGTGGGTGCCCCGTGAATGATTCCTGAGATAAACCCCCCAACCCCCCGTGAAACTGAGATCGATATGATGATAAGGCGGTTTCTTACGGTTTGAAAAATTCCAGTTGAAAAATTGAAAATTTCAATTCCCAGATCCAACTCGGAAAATCTCACACAAAAATAGAGCAGCCTTCTTACGGATCGACGGAATTGGAAACGCTAAAAACAGGGGGGGGTCACAATTACACCCCCGCCAGACGACGCAACATCATGCCGCTAGTGGAACCGCTGCTGCTGCAAGGCGCGAACAACTACTCCGATGCGCTGCTGCGGTCGACACTCGGTTGCGACAAGGCGATAGCCAAAAACGTGAACATCCTTCAGAACGCGGCCATCTGGTACGCGTGCTCCGTGATCAAGCGCGCGAGCGGCACAGCATCCCAATAGGATACCGAGCGTGCTGTGCGCCGGCGACCGTCCTCCTCTTGGATCTGGTGCAAAGCCGCCAACGCGACTGACAGCACTGTTGCTTCCAACAGATCGTCGCCGGTCCCCATATCGGGCGCACCGCGCTGACAACAATGCAACGGGTCTGCGCGTGTGAGGCGCTGTGCTAGGCTGTCACGCGCTGTGCTGTGCTGTGCTGTGCTGCTTTGTGGTGCGCTGTTGGGCACTGTCGGGTGCTTCCAGCGACCAAAGCAGGTGTGGTGGGGGGTCTGTTTGATGCCCCCCCCCCCCCCTAGGTTTGGATTTCCAACTAGCTTTTTCAACTCGGTCGCGACTTGGAAATTTCTGAAATTTTCAACTGCGCAGAGCGTTTCCAATCATTTTTGGCCCGAATTGAAAATTTATTTCTCAAAAAATCGATTGTCCAAACCGTAAGAATCTCTGTTCGGCTGGGAATTGAAAAAATTCAATTTTTCAACTGGAATTTTTCTAACCGTAAGAAACCGCCCAAGGAGAGAAAACTAAGTTTGCGGGTATAAATGCCGATCTCCTCCTTCGTGTACCATGTGCAGCGCCGACTTTTTGCTTCTACATCTCAATATTTATTTTTCAGGAGAATCTCGGGTAAACGACCGTCCGTGTGTTTTTTCATATTTTCGCAACACATCCCCCCTTCTTGATCTGGATGCGGAAGAGGTTGAGTCTCAAACCTCTCGCTTCTCCTGTACAGTACAGGAAACCACCACCCACTCTGTTCTCTCACCGGCGTGTTTTTCGCTTTTTTTTTTTTTTGCTTCTTTGTGCCGCAGGGAATCTCTGGATCGTCGGTGTTTTGACCTTTTTCGTCGTCGTTGCTCTTTTTTTACATATATAGAAGTACGTAGAAGCATATACACATATTTCCTCTTGCGTCGCGGGTAACTTGTATATCCTGAAAGTCTTGTCCTGTTTTTTCGGTTGTTGTTCCTTTTTTTCGTTATTCCTTTGTTTGCGTGTTTCGCGTTGTAGGAAACTTCTGGATCCTGGATGCCGACGGGTTGATCACAGAGGCGAGGTCTTCGACCGTCGAGAAGGCGACCCGCCGATTCGCTAGGCCAACGGGCGCGGGGGAGCTAAAGGACGGCTCAAACGTTGAACAGGCAAGGTCATACGGAGAGGATACAAGTGGTCTGGCGGCTTTCGCCACCCCGCTCAATAGATCGATACCAAGACACCCGATAAACAAGTGGTACTCAACATTCAATCGTTCCAGGAAAAATAAAGTTTTGAAAATGAGCATATATATGGAGGGCGTACTCGATTCATGCCATACAGTAGATAGTGTAGTAGTATCCGACAAACAACAAAATGAAATATGCATTGGTGAACGTAGGGTGGTAGTGCTGGCAACTTTCGCCGCTTCTCTCAATAGACCTCGGCCTCGCCGCCAGGAGTGGGCCCGGCGTCTGCTCGCCGCGTGGCTCATCGTGTATCATCAACAGAGTAGACATCCATATGCGTTGCAGCAGCAAGATATAGCGCGGCATACAAACTTTCAAATGTCATGCGGAGCGCGGAGCTGAAATCTGATAGAAAAAGGACTGAGCATACCGACCAAAACGTTCGAGCTACTGTACTGCTATGCTGGCGTCATCAGCGGCTTATAGTTTACGCTTAATGGGCAAGAGAGATCACGGACAGTGCGGAGAGTCAGAAAACATGTGCCGCTCATGTGAAAAAACGAAAAAAAAAATGTGTTCGACGTACACCGCTGTCTTGTACGTAGTGTCTGCTCGAGATGGAGATGAATGAGCGGGCCTACCGAGAGCGGTCTGAACCTTTTACCGCGCCAGATCGATTCAGGCCTCCGCTACCCGCGACCCGGTTCGTCCGGTTTCCACGAGCAGGCGAGACAAAACCACGAGTGAAGTATAGTAGTGGTCCCGATATAGTGGCGTTGTCCCTGAATAGTGCAATGCCCTAAATAGTGGCATCACAACCTCTTGTCACAATCTCAACCCGATATAGTGGCGTTGTGCCACTTTTGAGGACGGGGCCCTAAATAGTGGCATTTTGCGCATCTCATCCCCCCAATATAATAGTGGCAATTCAAAACGCCGGAGTGTCCCTGTTTTTCACCGCAAGCTCTGTCCGAAGACGGAAGGGGAGTTTTATTTCGTAGAAAGTTGGTAACATGTACGTCAAAGAGGACACCTTTTCTGACGACAAGGTAGAGCTAGACAACACCGAAGATTCTGGGAGTGAGGGAGGTGGAGGGACGAAGGCGCCTCCATCGTTCGCGGAACCGTCTGGGCTTTTGATGCTCTGGAAGAGTACGCGCGGAGTCGTGTGACATTGGCAAGGCCGGGCATTTCCTCCGCAAGGCAAAGACGGCATTTTTCGCGGCACATGCCGCTAGACCGTCACCGCAGTTGAACATCAGAGCGTTTGCCCAGTCATAGTGTAGTGGTATTGGTCGGTTGAGGCCTAACGGTGCAGAGCATCGTGACGGTTGGGACTGATGCGCCGGTGTGGGGCGCGTTCTGCGTTTCCAACTTTGATGTTCAACATGTGTGTTTTGCTTGTGATGAACCGAACAAATCATATGCACCCACGGGTACGCACATAAGCCATGCACCCATCACTTGGCAGTCCCGCCTATAGAGGCCTGCACGAACACCGTTTACCACCCAAGAGCGACCTAGCCCTACTCCAAGACCCACCAACCTAGCACCTGTAAGCCAGGTCAGGACCAACCTAGCACCTATCCACGCAATACCAATCTAGATTTATCCCATCAACACCAATCTTGCACCTATCCAAGCAGTAACAACCTAGAGTTTTCCCCGTCAACACCAACCTAGCACCTATCGGGTGGGTTTGGGGTTATGGTTAGCGTTAGGATTTTTAGCCGGTTTCGTGCCCCTGCCAAAGCAGAGCATCTAGAGTTTAGAACTACAAAAATTACCACTGGGTGGAAATCCACTGGTCGCTGGTTGAAGAGACACGTTCGCACCTCGCGGAAGGGCACGTCAGGGGTTCGAGCCACGGAACATTTGTCCCTTTTTCTCGCCTGCTGGTGGTGTTTTCGGTCTGTCGAGGGCATGGATGCATGGCTTATGTGCGTACCCATGGGTGCATATTGCTTTTTTTTGGCGTGATGAACCCCCCATCATGCACAATTGTCAATCAAGACAGTACAAAAATAATATTACTTTGCTTCTGCAGTCCGCCTGCACATAAAGGTAGGGTGCGATCGCCGAAGGCCTCGTTGTCACAAGGACGATCAAGTGTCAATGCACACGTGATGGGCTGACACCTACCTGCGTTTTCACGCGGGCACTGGTACACACAACACAAGAGGGACCCTAGATACATACACAAGGAATAAGAGTGAAGATCCAAGGAACAACTGTCCGTAGCGTAAAGCATCAAAGCTTACTCTACGCTATTCTGGTCAAAAATGCCACAATTGGTACTCGACGGAACGTTCCTCGAGCGAAAAAAGGCGGGAAAGCGGTTAAACGGACAATTATCGCAGCGGAAGAAGCAGGGAAACAAAATGCAGGCCTGTCAGCGGCCGACAGAGACCAATATCGGGGCCTTATCGGAACCGAAAGAAGCCCGCACCCGGAGGGTTGAAAGTTGAACGTACAGTAGTACATACATAAATGTGGAGAGCCCCACGTGTGACAGAGAGAGAAACATGAAAGCCCTGCGAGAAATTGTCGTGAGCAGAGGAAAGGCTGAGAGGATCGACGTCTTACATCGCGCAACAAGACTTACATAGCGCAGCAGGAGCTAACGAAGAGGTTTGTCGTCAAGATATATATAGTCGAATCAGAAAGAAGCCCCGCCCCCAAAAGTCCCTCGAGCGAGGAAAAGGCGGAAAAACGGTTAATCGGAAAATCAACGGAGCGGAAAAAGCGGGAAAACAAAATGCAGGCAGCAGCGGCCGACAGAGACCGAAATCGAGGCCTGTGAGAGCCCCGAGAGAAAATTGTGCGTCGCAGAGAGCAAAGTCTTTAATTGACAGAGACATATAGTTGTTACAGAGTTTAGTGCTGTTTCTGTGGTGCGGTTGTTGTTGTTGTTGCTAGCAGATCAATCACCCTTACAGTCGATCCATATCTCGAGACGCTACCGTATTCACTCGGTCCTGGTGGTACCGAAACGTGCCGATTCACCCTCTCCTACTCTGCAAAGACGTGGAGGAAAAGCGTCCCGGTAACCCCCCGCTCCCCCGTCCTTACACCGTTGTGGCGTGCATTTTTTTTTCGGTACTTCACAAAGCACCCATCTCTATCCACATTTGTCCAAAGAGGAGAGATCAAGATGAATCAACAAATTAATCCATGGCGTCAGCGAAGGAACTACGTGCGTTTTCATTTATTTCTTGTGCCCGTTTCGTTTTTTCGCAGGTGGTGACAGAAGAGCGACCCGATGTTCTTCTCGGTCTCTCTGGCGCTGGTCGAATCTGGAGCCCGAAGACGATCCAGGTGAGACATGGTCTAAAATCGTGTT